TCTAATGCTCCCGACTTTTGTCCCAGCTCAAAATGAGATAGTGACCTGCCATTGAGTTTTAGTGCTGTGCTCTAAATTTTCTTTGCCTGGGATGCTACGTTTAGCTTCCAGCGCTAGACGTATAGTGCAACGAAAAAACGTCGATCTGGGGACTAAACGTATAGTGCTGAGACATTTTTTTTTTCTCAGTGTGAGTGTTGTTTGGTAATCCGCGGCGCGGCGCGCCTTCTCGCTGAGGTGTGGTATTTGCTCCGGAGCGCTGCGGCCGCCCCAAAACAACAAGGTTGTTTGGCGGGCCGATGACGGGCTGCCCGATGAATGGACGCGCGTGCGTGTGTACTACACCGCGGCCCGCCTGTACTGTATTAGCCGCTCGCTTGTTTAGCGAGGTTAGTGGGACTTTATTCTTTCTTCTCGCCGCAAATGTGGCGCACACATTTTGATGGACGTTGCGGGCTGAGCGTCGTGAGAGGCGCGCGAGGTCGCCGCCCGTCGTCGGCGTGGGCCGCCGCCGAGTCCTCGCGCGCGCGGTTATACGGCGGCCCTTCTCCGCGCGGTCCCCACCGCCCCGCCTCGCTCAGCGCCGAGCTAGAACTTTCTATCGGGTCCGCGAGGAAGGAAGAGGGAGAGATGGGGTGACTGACATGAAGCCCTACAGCCTACGGGCGCGCGGAGCTGCGGCGCGCGGCGGCCCTTCAAAGGGAAAGGGGGGCGAGAGCGAGCGGGAGGGCGGGCGGAGTGGGAGGGAGAGAGGGAGGGAGAGCGCACAGCTTGCTGGGCCGCCGCGCGGCTGTGGCGGGGCGGGGTGGGGCATTTGCGTGAAGGTTCCAGCGGGGGGTCGTCGACCTCCGGTGCACTGGGGCCTACGGCGGCCTATGGGCAGCTCGGCCCGGGCTCGGCCCCTCCACGGGCAGGCGGTGCACGATGGAGCGGACAGGATGCGGACGGACTTGCGGTCCTTGCCCTCCCCCCTCGGGCCACTACTTCCTCCCTCGGGGTGCTCTGCACGCTGCGTTTAGACGGCCGTAACGCACTCGCACTACACTCGCGGGGGCAGGAGAGCGAGAGCGAGCTTGTTGTAGCGCGAACGATATAAACGGGGCGAGTGTAACGTGCCCGAGTGTGTGGAGGGGTACTTTTACTTTCTCGCGAGGAACCAAACGCAAACCAGGCAACCAAGCAGGAGCAATCATTGGGGGTACGATTTGGTGCCGAACCATCCGGTCGGGTGGCCCAGTGGCCGGCCCTGGTGTCCGCTGCCAGCTACGCTACGCCCCGCCGCGCTAGGCCCTGGGCCCGCCTGGGCCCCACGGGGTGGTGGTGGAGGCGGTGGCGGAGTGCGACGGGCAAACGACCCCGAAGTAGGTCAGCACAGCCTAACTGTAACCGTGCTGCGCCCCGCCCCGCCACGCCCCGCCGCCGAGCGCTTGGCCCTCGCTGCTCCGGTCAACAACCTCGGCGCTGCTCGGCTCGCCTCGGCTCGGCTCTGGCCCGCCCCTCTCGCTCCCACCCGCGGGGGCCGCGGGGGCCGCGGGTCGCTCCTTGTCTGGCGCGCAGCACAGCGCTCCGAGCACGCGGCGCCCGGGCCCGGGACTCCCTCCCCTCAGTCTGCCTCTGACAGTCGTAGTGTGCGCACGCGGACCCTGTGCCGGTGCTCTCCGTGACCAAGTGACGAGTGACGACAGTGTGTGTGACAAGTGTGTGTGACAGTGTGTGTTATGGTGTAGTGCGCCATGGCGGTCCTTACGTGTTCCGAGTCGCTGCTGCACCAGCACCTCAAGGCGCCCCCGCAGCAGCCGCAGGGGCCGTCGGTCGGCGAGCTGCAGCTCCGTCAGCTGCAGCTCTGGCTCAACGAGATGGTCGTGGCTAATAAGGTGCCCGTCGTGGACCTGGTGGACACACCCGAACAAGAGACGGCGGCGGCCTCGGGCCCCGCGCCCGAACAGGCAGGGCCCTCGTCCGCGCCGCCCGCGGCCTCCGCGAGCAGGCCGACGACGCCCCCCAGCAGACCGCCGTCCCGCTGCACCTGCAGCCCCACTCCTGCGCCCGCCCCCGCCGACCACCCTACTGACTCTGGCCCGTGTTCTTGTGCCTCCGAACAGGGCTTCTTCCGCCGCTCCATTCAACAGAAGATCCAGTACCGGCCGTGCACCAAGAACCAACAGTGCTCCATACTCAGGATCAACCGCAACCGGTGCCAGTACTGCCGGCTCAAGAAGTGCATCGCCGTCGGCATGAGCAGAGATGGTGAGTCTTTTTACTATTCTTATACTATTAGACTATATTAGCTTCCATTCACCATTGGACAGGTTCATGGCCCATTCAGTAAGTGCCGTTGCCAATTTAGTAGCGTGGCTCTTGCATTTTTATGATCATTCGATTCAAAATAAGTATTTGACAGTTATATGTCGACTGAGGATTTTGCGAAAGGGCTGGCAGTGGCTGTGTCCTCGGTGGGCGCTCCGCCCTGCTGGTTGGGTCCAAGGCGTGCCCTCCTTCTCGCGAGGCCAGCGGACGGGGTGGGGTGGAGG